AATTTACATATTGTACAATTCAATAGTTCAGTCATTCACTCATATCACAGGGCATGTGCTGCTACATCAGTCTTAGAACATCCCTCCCCCCCATGGTTAAATCGCCTTTAAAATGAGTTGTACAATCAGAAACAGTTCTAGTGCTCCCTCTCTCCTATGTACCCCAGAAATCCCCTTTCCCTCCCTACCGCCCACCCCCTACATCTGCATTCCCTAATGTAGCCACTCCTCCTGTGCTTCACCTCTGGGAAACCCAACAGAAAACAATAAAAAAATGACACCAAGGTGGTAAGGCTAAAATCATCATCATATAGAGATAAAAATACAAATAATGCATAAGCAGGAAAAGACCCACATCAACATTCAAAAAGTCAGGGAGGAAATTTCCGTCTTGCAACAAGTACGAGATACTTGCCCCCAGTGCAAATTCAGGTCATGTCTACAGGACGCCAACTGCCCAAGTGTCGACTTGGGTGCAGCATAGTCAAGGCGACAGTGGTCACTGCCTGATAGTAGAGCTGTTCGAGACTCTTGCCTGTGGCTGCAGCGGATCTGCCAGCAGCTCAGTCTGAGCAGACCCTCTTCAGATGGGCTCTAGTGCACTGTCCTCCACAGCCTTGTACAAATTGGGTGTTCGTAGCTCTAGCTCTGATGCTTTTCCTCTTCACGCAGTTGCTGTGCTTCTTAGGTATGGACTTAGTTGACTACCACTCCTTTGCTCTTTTTTCCCCCCTCACTTCTTCACCCTTAATACCCTCAGCGTGACATGAGATTACATAACCGCCACAATGGCACTTGCAGGAACTCACCCTAGTCATACAGTGTTTAACCATCCTCGTATTTATTCCTCACGTAGGTCTGAAAGCACTGGCTCTCCTTGGCATATTGCCAGATAGTGAATCCAGCTCCGGAAGTCAGTCCCTCACAGCCCCACTGCCCACCTGCACATCTGGGGAGCCGCTCAAGAAGAAAGCTGTCCAGGCTGCTGAGGGGCCGTCAGAGGCAGGCCTTTTTGTGCACTGCAGTGTAAGTAGCAGATCTCGACTGTGCCAGTCTGAATGCAGAGCCATTCCTGTGGGGCAGCAGAGCAGAGGGCTTAGGGCACAGAGTCGGGGCCCAGACTGGCTGCGTTCAGATCCCTGCTCTGTTGGACCTCGGGTAAATTCCTATGGTCTCTCTCCCTCAGTTTTCTCACCTGTAAAATGGGGAAGACAGTGATAACACTCATACCGTGAGGTTGTTGTAAGGACTTATATTGAATGCATGCGTGAAAGGTGCTTAGAAGAGTGTTCAGCGTCATCCTAGAGTTAACTCTGGTACCTGGTTTCATAAGGATTAAATAAGACAGTCCACTTACCTGCTTAACATGCTTGGCTGCTAACCAGGAGGCTGTGTTTAGTTCTCTGTTCTAAAAAAAATCATCCACTGAAGACTGTACGGAGCACAGACCTAGTCTGACACACACAGGGTCACCACCAGTCACAACTACTCAATGGCAACTGGTTGTGTGTGTGTGTGTGTGTATGTGTGTTGATGCCTCTAAAGAGTTCAGTTCCCATCCCAGCATCACTATCCCTTTTTAGTCTTGTTAATCCCTGGACAGAAACTCATTGCCTCTTGAACAGTAAGCCTCACCCCTGGTGACCACTGTTATACATTGTGGTCTCTGTGCATTTCCCTGGTCTAGATAGTTCATGTGTGTGAGTAAGTGTGGTGTGGTAGCAGAGCATAGAACCAAGCTTTGGTGTTGCTTCTAAAGCTTGGATTTCTGCTATAAATGTCCCTGCTTCTGCTTGTCTTTCTCTTCTCTCCCTGTCATGTTTCTAGTTTGAGGGTCCCCCAAACAAAGATAATCCACTGCCTTCCAGGTGCTTCTGTCTCCTAGTGATGCTGTAGGACAGAGGAGAACTGCTCCTTAGGGCTCCTGAGACTGTAACTCTTTACAGGAGCAGACAGAATCCTCTTTGTCCCGTGGACTGACTGGTGGATTTGAACCACAGCCTGGTGCCTAGCCCACAGTGCCATCAGGACTCTTTGAGGGACCCTCAGTTGGTGGTTACAGCCCACTGCGGTCCCACTGTCGTTTAGAGGAAACCCAAGTACAGAGGACAAGCGGGAACTGGGCAAATACTGTCCCCGCCGTGTAAGAAACAGCACCGCTTCTCCCGGCAGCTCTCTGGTGACCCACACCCCCAGAGCATGGTGGACAGAGAGAACGTTATCAGGAGAGACAGGCAACATCCACAGTCTCCACGTGGAGCCTGGGAGATGCTTGTGTCTTCCTGTGAGCTCACAATATCCTGCTACGTGCCGCTGCCTGGCGCTGAGGGATCAGGCTTTGTGCAACCCCTGGAAGACTGAGTTATTCCCCCAAAGACGACAGACGTGCCTGCCTATCAACTAGGGGGAGGCTGTCACATGACCATGTCTGTGGTCGCTTTTCTGCATGGAGTAAACACCTCGGCATTGGCTGGCCCACACAATTCATGCTTATGTTTTAGCATCAGCGTATGCTGTTTCCGGAGTTTACATTATGTAGGTTTAATTCTGGGGTGTTCAGTTATTTTTCAAAAAGGTCAACTGTATCACTCAGTTTATATTCCTTCTGACACTCATTTATAGATGAGTGCTTTGGGGACCATGTTTATCTGCTGGCCTGCCGAGTGAGGAAAGCCTCGATATTGTGTAACTAACCCTGCTGCCGTGGAGTAGACTCCTACTGTGTGGGGCCTCTAGTAACCCGCCCCCTCCAGAGCCGACTCCACGTGGCCATCTGGACACCTCCCTCCGTTAGAAAGGGAACACCATTATTCCTCCTCACTAGGGTGAGGAACTGGTAGATATTGCCATTGTAAAAGTACATTTTTCCTTCTGAAACTACCAAGTGATCTGGGAGGTATAAATGAGGCATATTTAAGGCCCCTGGAAACTGGACTCCCCCCTCTACCCCCAAACCAGCCAACTAACCTCTACAGACTGAGCCTACTTCTCGAGACAGCTTTCTTGTAAGTTATTCACTGCTGTCGTCGACAGGGTGGGGGTGGGGTGGACATATGTTTGTTGACATAAACGAGAAACCTTATGAACACCTCGATCCAAATCTCTTGATTTTTTTTTACCATATACCTCTCTCTTGTGTTTATATAAAATACAAAGTACCAATAAAATAAAGCATTTCATTCATTCTCTAAATCCTTCCCATTTAGAATCAAACTCTTCAGAATGAATTGGTTTGTTTGGGTAACAATTTTGGAAAACGTGTGCCCACAAGCTGAGGGAGGGCATTGGGAAGATGTTGAAGGAGATATGTGGTCCACTCAGTAATACCTTAATAGAGAAGGATATATATGTATCATAAACGAGTGAGGTTTCTTAATGAAATTCGAGTTTTTCATCGGTGACCGCTAATGTTTTAAAAATTGTATTATAATAGCAATATAAAACATTAAACTTCTTATGATAAAAGAAAGAACTTCATTTCTTTTACACCCACCATTTGTCCTTAGGGAAAGGGGGCTGCTCAGAAGGCAGTCGGATCCACAGACTGCAAGCCAAGAAAGAAGATGGAGGCAGGTGTGCTGTTAATGAAGGCCCCCCCCTGCCAGATCCACACTGCAAGCTCTCCTGCAGATGCCAGCAAACCTCCGGGGCATCCAGGTAAAGACTGTGGATCTCCACCTCTTTCATCTCAGATAGCACATGTGCCCATCTCTGAGTGGCTTGTTGGACACAGGTTAAAACTGCTGCACACAGGGATGCGGGGCTTCTCCCTCTCGCAGGTGTGCGGTGCTTATGCTGAGGAGCCTTCAGAAGGGCTGCTTCCCAGAGTTACTGAGCGCCCTGTGCTAGGCCCTGGGAATAAATGGGATCGAGTCAGACAGACACACAGGCCCTGCCCTTGTGGAGCTCCCAATCTGGCGGGTTTAACCCAAGACTGGGTGATTGACGTATGAGGCAGGATATGGTTCTGCCAGAAGAGTGAGTAGGATGTTAATGGTGGCTGGCATCTATCTAGAACAGATGATGTCCACCTAGAGACTTACAGAGAAATAAACTGGGGACCTGTAGTCTAACAGACCCCATCTGCTGGCAGGTAGGGCGTCAGGGCAGAAAGAAAACCATGAACAAAGGCCACACCATGGGAAGCCCGCAGCCAAGTTCAGGGGCACAGTCCCTTCTGGCAGGCATGTAGGGATGGAGTGTAGCCCTGGGAGATGGAACCCTGTGCGGAAGGCCTCAGATGGCAGCTGGAGGATAGTAGTGACAAGGGCGGGGCTGTGTGTGGAGGAGCCTGAGGACAAGGAGATGGAGGTGCCTCGGGGTGGAAGAGACTGGAAGCAAATCTCAGCGCTTTCCTTATGGCAGCCCACAGCCAGCAGGAACTTCCTATCCTTCGACCCCATCTATGGGCCAGACTCCCATAGGGCTTGACCTCTCTGCAGTAGTGACAGCTCTAGTTCTAGAATATAGTTGAAACACCCCATCAGCCCAGGTCCTCCACATCTACTCTAGTCTCCTTTCCCCAAGAATCCCATCCTGCTTCCTGTGTGGTTGATTCATCCTACAAGTATTTGCCGAGGACCTACTGTGCTCCAGGAACATTTCTGGCTACTTGAGATACATCACTGCCCAAAACAAAATTCTTGATGCCCTGAGCACCGACGAGCAGTGGAAAAGGGAAAGAGAGTGGCGAGGTGGGAGGGGTGGTGTACGTTTAAATAAGGTGTTCGGGATAGACCTCTTTGAGAAGTGGACATTGGAGCTTTTGCTGCCCCCGTTTTATTCTGTAGCAGCGCCAGGAAAGCGCAGCGGTTTATATGCACCTATCCTGGCCACTTTGCCCATGTGTAGATCCTTCAGAAAAATGTGAAAGCCCCGTGTTTTACAACTCAGATGCCGGACAAGCTCAAGCCTCACCCCAGAATCCAGCAGAGGAAAAGGTGATCACCCCGAGCCCCGAGCAGGTGTTTGCAGAGTGCTCCCAGAAGAGGGTTCTGGGCTTACTAGCCGCCATGTTACCTCCACTGAAGACGGTAAGCGACAGCAATCAGCCTTTCCTTTTGAAAGGAAGGGCAGTAGCATGCACAGAGAAACTGTTGTTTTAGAAAGCCATTGTAACACGAAGCAGCTGTCAACAGCAGCCGTGTGTCTCAGAGTACACAGAGAGAATTAATAGTGATTCTTTTTTTTCCTTGCACCTCTATTCTGTAATTTTCCTACAATGACTATGTATGTTATGGCCTGTTGTTGTGTGAATCATCATGATTTCTCTCTCTGTCTTTTTAATTTGGAAAAACTTTAAGCTTATAGAGAAATGGAAAGAACAAAAAATAATCTGTACTTAGTGTGCGCACACACACACACATCCCACCCCCGCTACCTATGCCTCAGTTCTCTACCATCTTGTTGTCCCACTTTGGAGGGAGTGAGTGTCTCTGTGACTGTTTGGCACATTGCAGACATCCCTCTGGCCGTCACAGATCCTGTGTGCACATGCGCGGAGCATGGCTGCTAGCCCACTTGACTAGGCTGTGATTCCCAGTGGTTTGGCAGTTGGATTGGGCAAGTCTGTCATCCTCCATTTTGTGATCAGCTGTGATCATTCTCCATTTTGCATAATGATTGGTCTTTGGAATCTATATCAATAAGTAAGAAGTGGGTGCGCGCGCGTGCGCGTGTACACATACAAGGGGAATGCGAAACTTCAGAAACTAAGTTGAAGACCTCATTGACGCTTCACCCTAACTAATTCAGCATGTGCCTTAAAAGGACTTTGCTGTTGGGAAGGACCACACGTTGGAAATCCAACATTGGTAAGCATGGAAATGTGCATAGGACGAGGCTGGAAAGCTTCCTAGTAGGTATCTCCTGGGCGTTGCAGGGGAGAAGGAATAGATTCTGGAGAACTTGAACTGTTTACGTTATCTCCGAATTAGTTGAATTCTTTTGCCATGAGAGCATAGGGACACGGCACAGGGATCTCCCCCAGATGTTTTAAGCTTACTTTTCAAGATAAAAGAAAATTGGAAGTAGGCTTGTAAGGTCAGACCTGAAAATTGCTGATTTTACTTTGGACTGTACACGTGGCGGCACCTCTGGCAAACCACTGCCTGGTTGTTTGGGCTCTAGATCTGCAGTAAACAGCGTGTTAGAAGGGATGTGGGGCTTCATCCAATAGTGGTGATTCCAGGGCTTTTTGTACTGAGCAGCTGTCTCCCCTCCTCTCTCCACAGAGTACCACGCTCCCCCTGATAGACCTGGAGCACGCCCTCCCACTCATGTTTCAGGTCGTCATCTCAAACGCAGGCCACCTGAATGAAACCTACCACCTCACGCTTGGCCTTCTGGGCCAGCTAATCGTCCGCCTTTTGCCAGCAGAGGTGGATGCCGCAGTGATTAAGGTCCTCTCCGCCAAACACAACCTGTTTGCGTCCGGGGACAGTTCCCTTGTGCCAGATGGCTGGAAGACCACCCACCTGCTCTTCAGCCTAGGAGCTGTGTGTTTGGACAGGTAGCTTTGGTTCTTGCGCACTCTGCCTCCCCCACTCAGCGACTGTTTCTGTGTGCAGCAGTGTCCGAGGGCTACAGTGCTGTTCTCTGGATTGGGTTTATCAGGAATGCTGTCAGCCCACAGGAAAGCTGTGCCTGTGGGGGCAGGCCCTGAGCAGCCTCAGCACGGCCTGCCAGCAGAGCAGTGAGTGCTGGCCCGCCCGCCCAGGGGGAAAGACAAGAAGTATATTTCATTGCAAAAGGAGTATAAACCACACAGCCAAATATGGAAAACAGAGGTGAAGGCAAAAACGCACCAGGTGCTGTTTCGTGTGTTTCCTTTCAGGCATTAGTCCTGTGCGAGTGTGTGCGCTTTTGCACTCAACACTTGAGCATGTCTGACTTTATAAGGATTTTTAAAACCATAGTTTTAGACTGAGGTTATAGGTAATGTTTTTTCCCCACTTATTACGAGAATCCCTGTTGGCATAGTGGGTTATACAGTTGGGCTGCGAACCACAAGCTCAGCAGTTCAAATACACCAGCAAAACCTCTGGAGAAAGATGAGGCTGTCTAGTCCTGTAAAGAGTTAAAGTCTTGGAAACCCATAGGGCAGTTTTGCCCTGTCCTGTAGGGTTGCCGTGAGTCAGAATAGACTGGATGGCAGTGAGTTTGTCTGTTTGTTTAACCATTACAAGAAACATCATCCTGCCAGTAGTTTTTTAAGCGGATTAGAGAACAGCTGCCTGCGCAGTGCAGCAAGCTGTGATGACTTGACTTGCTTTGGAGCCGTGTGTTCTACCACTTAACGGAGCTCCTGTCTTCCAGCCGGGTGGGCTTAGACTGGGCATGCTCCATGGCAGAGATCCTGAGGTCACTGAATAGCGCCCCACTGTGGCGGGACGTCCTCGCCGCCTTCACAGACCACTGCATCAAACAACTGCCTTTCCAGCTGAAGCACACCAACATCTTCACCCTGCTTGTGCTGGTCGGCTTCCCCCAGGTACGTCCCTTGGAGCCCTGGCCGCCCCACCTCGCCCTCACACACACCCACTTCTCAGTAATGTGCCTGCAGAAGGTGTTTGTATTGACCTCTTCATTTATATAATTTGTTTTTACAGCATGGGTATTTTTCAAGATTATGGAATGATTTCTTCACGTTGGTAGTGAACAATTTGCCACCTGAATCATTTCTTTAGCCAGGAGCCATTGATGTTAAGGGACCCTGGAGCACACTTGGCTCCTGACCCAAAAGCTGGCGGTTCAAACCCACCAGCTGCTCCAAGGGAGAAAGGTATAGCCATCGACTTCCAAGAAGATTTATAGCCTTGGAAGCCCTGTGGGACTGTTTATGGGGTTGCAGTGGGTCAGCATCGACTCATTGACAATGGGTTGGGGGTTTTAGGCTTTTATGTGTTTCCTTGGCTTTGAATAATCAGTAACTACCTGGATTGTTTTAAATGATAAAGAACTTGAAAGTGCACCAATTTCTTACTCAAGCATCCATCTTAATAATCTCAATGATTATCTATATGACTTTCAACTGGTTGGAACAAGGGGTACTATCCAACCTGGCACCATCCAACCAGCACTAAAAGCTACTCCTGCGCCAGGCCTGCCATGTGGATTTCAAAATGAGGATGTGACCCTTGAGTGCTTGCTAAGACAGGCACCAGCCAAGGCCCTGGACTGAGGCCTAAGTGCTCTGGCCGGTCTCTACGTGTTGCTGAGGGGCCCGCTTGCCTCTCTGTCACATTTCAGGTCCTCTGTGTGGGCACCCGCTGCATTTACATGGACAACGCCAACGAACCACACGGTGTGATCGTCTTGAAACACTTTACGGAGAAGAACAGGGCTGTCATCGTCGATGTCAAAACTCGGAAAAGGAAAACAGGTCCCAAGCACAACTTTTTTTTTCTAAGAACAGAAGACCATGTGTCTACTTTATATCTTAAAATTAATGACGAGCCCTTGACTCTTGCCCCTTGCATGTGTTTTTTTGGTTTTTTTTTTCTTTTAAGTTCTGCCTATAGCACTTCCTCATCTCAGGTCTGCGTGGTTGGACAGGGTCACTGGGTGTCCTTTTGTGTGCCGATGCGGCTCACACACTCGAATGCTCTGTTGCTCCGTTTGCCTCAGTTGCCGTCAAGGCAGCTCCAACTCGTGGTGACCCCGGGGTCTCAGAGCAGAACCGCGCTCCTTGGGATTTTCAGTGGCTGATTTTTCAGATGGCTTTGGCAGCCCCTCTGGATGGACTCCTGTAAGCAGCCCAGCACCTTCATGGTTAGTGGCTGTGTGCACCCACGAGGGCTACCTGGAGTTCTTCTTTCATCGCTTTCAGCCTGGGGCGGAACGTCGGCAGCCTTCCCACATTGCTACGATGGCGATCTGTGTCTCCTCTATTTCCAAGGCTATCCAGATAGAGAGTTATCAACCTTTTTTCATCTTGTCGGATGACTAGGTTTTGGCCTCGTTTTTTTTTAACCGCCCCCCCCATAATATTTTTGCTTTTCTTCTTTCTGCTTTTATCATTATGGATTTCCTTTCTATATTTTTGAGTAAAATTATCCCCTACCCCCAATAGTTTCTTAAGGTAAAAATCCCAATCACTGAGTTGGGATCTTTCTTCTTTGCCAACATAAGCCTTTTAGTGCTGCTTCGGGTGCCTGAGGAGCCCTGGTGGCGTAATGCTACTGGTTCGACTGTGACCCACAAGGTCAGCACTCTGAGCCACCAGCTACTCCTCGGGGAAAGACAAGGATCTCCGGGCCTCACTGGGCAGTTCTCCTGCCCTTCAGGCTTACTGTGAGTTCACACTCACTCGGAGCCATTGAGCTGGGTTTGCCTTTTTGCTTTCGGATGTCTGGTCATTTTTTAATTTGTGCTTGTTTGTTTTTTGTTGTTGTTTTTAAATCCCTTTAAATAAGGTTAGATTTGATTCTGGTGTGTCGATTACTAATTACTTGCAATTAGATCATTTTGAAACTTGCCTTTAAGCCTTGTTAAGACAGGCCCAGAGTAGCCTTTAACATAAGGTGACCAGACGGCCCGCTTTTGGCCGGACAGTCCCGATTTTTAACAATTTTTCCTGTGTTCCACGGCATTTTTTAAAAGTCCCGATTTTTGGAAAGAATGCACGACAAGCTAGAGTATACGGTTTTCGGCTGCCTTGTGGCTATTTCGCCAGGAGATGAGTTTTATCAATGGTGTCCCGTTTTTGTCCCACTTTACCAATGTTAAAATCTGGTCACCTTACTTTAACATAGAGCTGATTTAACCCTGCTGCTAAGGCAGCGCCTTTCCAAGGCTTCTCCCCAGTGCTCCATCCTACGGGGGTCTGCTGGGGACACAGAACTCCAGACTGGTGCCAGTCCCAGGAAGCGCTCTGCCTCTTGTTTAGGGTAGCTCTGTCTCCTTCCCTAAATCGTTTTCTTTCATTCATCTTCTCCCTCATGGCAGCTGGTGGTTGTGAACTGCCAACCCTGCAGCCAGCAGGGCAGCTCTGTGCAGATCTCTGGAGCTCGCTGTGTGCGTGAACTTGTGCAACAGAGACTCTCTTCTCTGTGTGTTTTTTTCCCCCATAAATTCTAGCTGCCTTGGCTTCCTGACCCTCCAGCTCTGTCCCCTCAGTTTACAGAGACTGGAAACTGCCTGCACACAGCTGGTGCTGTCAGAGGCCTTGCTCGCCAATGTGTGCCCTTCCTCAGGGGTCCCCCTCCCCCACCCAGGGCCCAGGCCCTGAAGGCTGTCGTTTCTCACACACGCTCAGTGTTCTGGTTCGTTACTGTGGGGCAGTAAATCCCAGGCCCCTCGTCTCGTCCTGTTTGGAAGTGGACATCTCCTGTGGCCTCTTCGTAAGCACTTCAACGCCTGTGGAGACAACCACTCATACACAGTAATAGGAATTGTGGCTTGGTGACCAGAGGGTCACCACCAGTTTCATGTGCACCTGCAAGCAGTACCCCCTCAAGTGTAAGGGCAGAGGCTGAAGTTGGAGATTTGTGTTTGGGAGTCCGAATTTTGTGCTGTTCAGGGGAGAAACTGATCTGCCCGGAGCATTGACCTAACTCTGTGTCTTTCTCTTTCTACCTGACGTCATACATCTTTCAGTGAAGGACTACCAGCTAGTGCAGAAGGGAGGGGGCCAGGAGTGCAGCGACTCCCAGGCCCAGCTGAGCCAGTACTCCCAGCACTTCGCCCTCATTGCCAGTCACCTTCTGCAAACCAGCATGGACAGCCATTGTCCCGAGGCTGTGGAAGCAACGTGGGTCCTGTCCCTGGCCCTCAAAGGACTGTATCAAACAGTAAAGGTAAGGATGCATGCCCCGGTTAGCTAAGGGCTCAGGCTGCCATTGAGCATCTGCAGGCAGTTAACTCGGAGGAAATGCCATCTGATTCTCACGGACGGCTAAGCAGAGGATCTTGGTTATTTTTGGAATGCTGGGGCTTTGGGACAAGCAGACTTTCAGGAGGAGAGAGGATTTTCCCAGCGGTGTAGTTCTCGTTGGGTTCATTGCTGGTTCATGGGGACATGTGCTGAGAAGAAGAGCTCTTGGAGACTGAGAGAAATAGGACCTGACCACCTCACTCCCTTCTCTGAACCACGACTCCTGAATGAAACATCTGTGTGATCCGCTGGGCTCTTCGAGTTAGGGCTCTGACAGTCAGTCGGGGCATGGGGTGGGGGGGTGGGGCATCCAGCTGCCCCATGTCAGGCCGAGAGATGAGGGGCCTTGATCGTGAGGACAAAATCCCTTTTTTCTGATTCCCGAAGGGCAGTGAGAGGGAGGGAAGAACTTTGAGGAGATGCGTTGGAAGAAGGAGCAAATTAGAAACATTTGTGAGCCTCTTGGCTTGGAAAGATGTTCAGTAGCAGCAGAAAAACCCCTCGTTGGGGAGGGCATGGAGAGACGCGGGCAGCACAGGGTGACTGGACTCAGTGGCACTTCTGCTCACGTCCAGCCCGAGAGGGTGGTGTTGGGGTGGAGTCCGCACACCTGCACCTGCATGGCCCGTGTTGGAGCAGCCGAGATCTTTCCGGCTTGGAGCCTCCATTCAGCACACGCTCATGGAGCCCTGCCAGAACTCACATGGAACCGAGGGGAGCTAGAAAGAAGGTCCCTGTTCTCCTGGGGCTTACAGGTGAACTGGCAAGACAAACGAGAGCCTTCAAGGAAGCCTGCCAGGAGCCAGGCAGGGCTCTTTGAGGAGGTGACCTGTGGGGCAGGAGCCGGACAAGGCCGTCAGAACCTGAGTAGGGCATCCCATGCCGAGAACAGCACACGTAGTGGGGAGGGACAGGAGAGAGCCCCGCAGGACTGCAGCAGAGTGCAAAGAGGAAGCTGAGGCCGGGGAAGCAGGCAGGAAGCCAGGTAGGACCTTGTCTGCCCTGTTAGAAGTTTGGAGTTTAATCTAGGTGCAGTGGAAAGCTTTGGGAATGCTGAGAGTCGGGGAGTGACACAAACCTCATGTTCTTAGCGTAGAAATCCGCATCTTTGCTGAGTGTACAATAGAAGGTTAAAAAGAGATGCCGAGTGGATGAATTACAGAGGGAATGAGTAGGCCATGGATTATGGCAAAGGTTCAGCATTTCATCCATCTGAAAACTCACTCTCCCTCCTTGGAAGTTGAGTGTGGGCCACCAGCTGAGACTGATCTCTGAGAAAGTTTGCTTTCTCCCCCAGTGATGCTCCCCTTCCATCTTCATTCTGAGGCAGATGCCAATCATTCTCTTTCTGCCTGGCAGGCTCATGGATTTGAAGAGACCCATGCTACCTTCCTTCACACTGATCTGCTGAAGCTGCTGGTGAAAAAGTGCAGCAAAGGGACCGGCTTCAGTAAAACCTGGCTCCTCCGGGACCTGGAAGTAAGGGGGCTTGCTCCTGCCCCTAGCCCTGGGCCTACCCTGTGGTGCAGACTGGTCTGAATGTTTGATGCATGGGGCAGTGACTGTTGGTTCTGCCTTGTGCACTCACACCCTGGACATTTACAATTGGACCGCATATCTGCCTTTGCATTTGGAAGTCGGGGTATGGTGATTGATACCTGTGCTCCTCTGGGTCAGGGAAAAGGAATGTTACATTTGTTACAAGGACATCTGAGGAGAGGTATTTTGTGGAAATACACAGTGATAGCAAAAGTCCTTGACTTATTACTTCTCTTTAAAGTTCTTTTGGCCTAAAATCGGCTTCTAAATTTGTTTTATGTAGAATTTTAGTTGCCCATTTAAATTTTATGACGATTCTCCTGAGGCCTTAAATTTTTCATAGCAGGGTTGTTGTGGTTCCCTATAGACTTTCTGAGCGCAGGGCCACCCCAGGTCCAGGAAAGGCTGCTGCTGTGTGGGAGTGGGGCACTGGCTGCTCTGAGTCACGCCAAACCAAAACTCACGCCATCAGATCAGTGCTCAATCTTAGCAGCCCCTGTGGGTGTCTGAGATAGTAACTACTGATGGGAGTAGAAAGCCCAGTCTTTCTCCCTTGGAGCGGTTGGTAGTTTTGAACTGCCATCCAGGCGGATCGCAGCCCAACGTGTAACCACTGCGCCACCAAGGCTCCTACACACATACATGTGTATATATTTAGATTCTGTGGAAAGCATAATATATAAATAAATTGAAGTCACAAGATATTTTTCCTAAGTGCCACCTAGTTTCCATAACCATCTTTCTTCATGGCTACATATGATGCATGCAGTTTGTTGATCATACTATGAATATAATGTTATCTGCATTTTTACATTGTTCCCAAAAGATGAATTTCCTAGGTGAAAGGGTAGAGCCTTTTTCACAGCCCCTCAGGGTTGGGCTGACCTCTCAGAAAGACTTAGGCTGAGAACCCTGTGCAGGGTTCCCTGTGAGTCAGAACGGACTTCATGACAGTGGAGGACGCGGGTGCTTGGCTGTTTTTTTAATGCATTTTGCCAAAATCCTTTAGAAAGGATGGCATCAATATCAATAGAAAAGTCTTAGCATTTTAAAAATCATAAATACACTTGAACTTGGTTTGTGTGGGTTTATTAATTTTACGTGTGTGCACGCATGCGCTTCTGTTCTCTGAACACCTTACACCTTATCAGAAGTTAGGTTAATGAGGGGTATGATTTCTTACTCACTGCCCTGGCCACTGTTCTCCCCTGGAAGATTTTGTCCATCATGCTGTACTCCTCCAAAAAAGAGGCCAGCACTCTCCTGGAGCATGGAGACCCAGAGCTGGAGGAGCGCGGGGACCAGGGCGAGGAGGCGGAGCGGCCGGTCAGCAGCCCCAGTGACACAGAGCAGAAGAAGCTGGACCCTCTGGAGAGCCTGGACGAACCCACCAGAATATGTTTCTTGGTATGTTTTTGGCTCTTCGTGTCAATTGAGCAAAAGGTCCTGGAGATTTGATTATCTTTGGTTTGGGCTGTTTCAGCCTTCGCATGATGGCCTGAGAACTTACTTCCTAAAGGCTCTGTTTTCTGCAAAAATGACCCAGAAGCACTGAGAAACCTTTATTTACAACAGCACTTTTAAGTGTTTTGGGGTCATGAACCCAAAAGCATTAGGCTTCTCGTTCATAAACTATACACTCAAATACCCATCAACATGCCTGTACAATGTTGCACGTAATTCTCAGGGCTTAGTAAAAGACATCTATAAACTCCCAAATGGTCGTCCTCTTAACTCTGGGTTTCTTGGACTGCTCTCTCCCTTTCCCTAGACCACTTGTTTGGGCAATGCTGGGGTGGTGGCTGAGAGCGTGAAGAGTACACAGACAGTATCGGGTAGATGTCAGGAAAGTTAAGTGGGAAGTTGAGCATGCGATAGCTACAGGTAAACTACAGTGACGCCTGCAGAGTGGATCGTGGCTGCCTCCACAACCTGTGTCTTAGTGCTTCCAGCTCTACATGCCTTTTACACAGCATCGTGTGATGATTTCTTAATTGCAACCTACGGGGGCTTGAAATATTGTTGCACCCCTTCTGAGGTCAGCATGTCAAGGGTGTGTTGAATCAGCATCTTTGCTTCCTCTCCATGGTGTCCAGATGGCTCATGATGCCCTGAACGCCCCTCTGCACGTCCTCCGGGCCATCTACGAGCTGCAGATGAAGAGGACCGATTCCTTCTTCCTGGAGGTTCAGAAGCGGTAAGGGACATGGAGGTGAATCTGATGACTGGTGAGAGGGCATGGCGGGGCAGGGGCGACCACTTCCTTCCTGCCCGGGCGTTTCGAGGAGATACTTGAAAGGCAAAGAGGCCGGTGGGGAGTCCAGTTTGAATTTCCCCTAAGTGACCCTGCCGCTGGAGTTGCATTGTATGGCGTGATGCCGAGGACACGTGGGCTGTGTTGCTGTGGTAGTCTACTGCTTAGAGCAAGCTCCTGTTACAGACACCAAAAATGGAGGCCGACACCAAGACTGCTTTTCGAAGTAACCTTGGGGAGCAAGCAGTGCAAAATATTTTTGTTTTCACAGCAGTAAATTATTTTCATAGCCCCCCCCCCCCAAGAATTATTATAAAATTAATGGTCTTCTCTTTCCCTTGGCCCAGAGAGCTGGTTCTCAGATCCAGCACTTAAAATTGTGAAGAACATTATATATCTGCTTCCAACCTCCTCCTTTATCTCCCATATTGTAGTTTTTATGTCCTGCTATAATTTTATTAAAATCTAATTTCATTTTTATTTCACAACATATATTTCTTATATATTGCCTCAAATTCTTTGTGAGATGAAGCAGGACTGCATCAGGTTGGCATGGTCTAACCAGCTGTAACTAAGAGACCCAGAACCATCGTGGACCCAGGATAAGAGAAGTTTGTTTTTCTCTCAACAGTCCAGTCGTAGACAGTGATCCGGGCTGGGAGGCAGGGAGGGCACTTCTGCTCCACAGGGTGACCCAACAGCACCAAGGACATTGTTTGTCTCTCCTGTGTGGGCCAAGCGAGCTCCCCAACACCCAACACGGCTCCCAACACTGTGTTCTGGCCCAGAGGAAAGGGGGGAGGTGGCGCATCCTTTACCCCCTGTTGTTCAAGGGTGGGCTCTGAAAGTGGCCCTCACTCATTCCCTCACTCACACCCTCATGGTGCTGCATCTAGCTGCAGGGGCTGCTGAGAACTGTGCTTTCGAGCTGAGTTTGACCCCGAGCTCTCTGAGCACTGCACTCCCAGGACTCCTTTTCTAAAAGTATAGCGGGGAGGACAGATCCTTGGACAGTGCACACTCTAAATGAATGAAGGCTGTGAGTCCCACCTCTGAGCTGTGGGACGTGACCGTGAGATTGCAGAGTAACAGGAAAGTCACTTGGTCCAGCTTTCTGACAAGTCCAAGGGCAGGTCAAGGTCCTGCCTTTGTGTGAGTCGGGTGTGCAACTCAGGGCCTTGTCGTCAGGTTTGATGGCGATGAGCTCGCCATCGATGAGAGGATACGGAGCCTGGCTCAGAAGTGGCAGCCTGGTAAGAGCTTGCGGCTGGAAGAGCAGAGCGCCAAAGCCCTGGACACAGACATGATCATCCTGCCTTGCTTGGTATGTGGCCGCCTCCTCGGAAGCCCCGGGTCCCCACACACCCTCCTTTTCCCCATCTTAGCCTGAGAGGCCAGGCCTCCGTCATGTTCATTCTCTGGGTTTTACAGTCCCGGCCGGCACGCTGTGACCAGGCCACTGCGGAATCGAACCCCGTGACCCAGAAGCTCATCTCCAGCACTGAGAGTGAGCTGCAGCAGAGCTACGCCAAGCAGCGCCGGAGCAAGAGCGCGGCCCTCCTGCACAAGGAGCTGAATTGCAAGACCAAGAGGGCTGCCCGAGACTACCTTTTCCGAGTGAACGAGGCCACGGCTGTGCTCTACGCCCGCCATGTGCTGGCCTCCCTGCTGGCTGAGTGGCCCGGGCATGTGCCAGTAAGCGAGGATGTCCTGGAGCTAAGCGGCCCTGCCCACATGACCTACATCTTGGACATGTTCTTGCAGCTGGAGGAAAAGCAGCAGTGGGAGAAGGTAGTGAAGCAGCCAAGCTGGCTCTCCCCAAAGCCTTCACCGCCCCCTCCCCTCCCCCAGCTCTGTCCTTACCCCCAAATGAGTGTCTGCCTGAAGTGGGGTTCCAACGTGGTCTTCATCCATGTTCCTGACAGGTGTGGATGTAGCAAAAACTAGCTGTCTCTTCTCTTGTCCTCTGGGAGATATACTCCTAAGTCCCAGGTTGGGCTAATTGCAACTCTCCGTCCCTTCTGCTGCGCTGTGTCTCCTGAGTGAGGCATATCGGGGCCAGCTTGGAGCGTGCTGACACAAGCACCTGGGCCCCACCCGGCCCTGTGAGGTAGAGCATGGGAAGTGAAGGAAGGAGCAGGAAGCCCCCTGCTTCTAGGTGACAGAGTGGAGTCCTTTGAGTTACACTTTTAGAAGTTAGAAGTCTTCGATTTTTTTCTCCAAGTCATCTCTTCAACTTATTCTTTGAAGATACTGCGGGGTCAGCAAATCTTAATAGAAACAGAGCAGCTCCTCCATCCCCTGCTGTCTAGAAGCAGAGGACCCAGCATAGCAGGGTCCTGCGCACTGTTAGCATCTTCCCAGTCTCCAGGTGCCAAGAGCTTCATTCCTGTCCCCTTGCCACCACCCCACTCCCCCAGCACGCGCACACACACACGTCATTCACTGCTTCAACTAAGAACCTGACTGGTTCCTGGATGCTCTAGCTCCTTCCCCAGCCTCTCATTCCCGGAGAAGTTGGCAGGATCACTAGCTGAGTTTCTCTCGCTCTCAGACACAGCTTTCCTGATTCTTGTCCTGGGGAGCTTCTAATCCTGTACCTGTCTTCCCTCTCCCCATATTGTGTGTAATTGTCTTCTGTGTGTCCATCCGGGAGCCGCCAGGGCCAGAATCATTTCTGACTGCTTCTGTCAGTTCTTCCTAACCTCCTTGAAACAGACGTTCCTCCGCCAGGACTGTGGTGTCCTGACATAGCAAGGGCCTCTTCGGGTGGAATGGCTGGTTGGGTAGAGTTGGAGGTAGGGTGCAGAGGCGGTTCAGGGGCCAGAAGGCACTTCCTTCCTCCTGGTGGGCAGCTCTGGGCCCCGTCACTGGAAGACCCTGATGTTCCCTGCCTTGTGTCCCCAGATCCTGCAGAAGGCGCTCCAAGGCTGCCGAGAGGACATGCTGGGGACCATGGCCCTGGCTGCCTGCCAGTTCATGGAGGAGCCCGGGATGGAGGTGCAAGTGAGGGAGTCCAAACACCCATATAACAACAACACCAACTTCGAGGTAGGACCCGGCTCTGCCCGGCTCTCCCAGCTCAAGGCCTGCAAGCTCGTAACACCAGCAGCTCTTTCCCACCTCTGTAGAACCTGGACCACGAGCCTTCTCCAATGGAGCAGAGGTCAGGCCCATGGAAGGCAGCCACGTGCTCACTTCTCCCGACCTCCTTTCCTAGAGAGCTTGGGGCCACCTGGCCCAGGAGAAGAGCTGACTTTCCTCCAGCAGCTCCTGCCCATGCCCTCTTCAGACAGGGAGCCCGAGCACAGGTCCAGGTGCAGCCCTGCTCTTCATCCTTCTTAGGACCCGGATGCAGGCACCTTAGTTCCATTATGAAACCCGCCTTTTACAGTCTTAACATGGAATCTAAACACAGGGAAGAGCTTGATTCTGCTCTGATGAGGCAACAGCAGTTACTCTCACTGACTCGATGGCACCAGGTGGCTAACCACAGGCTCAGTGGTTCAAACCCTCTAGCTGCTGTTTGTGAGGGAGATGAAGCTGTCTGCACCAGTACAGACTTACAGTCTGAAGAACTTGAAGGAGCAGTTAAAGGATGTCTCAGAGGACAGCCGTGAGTTGGAATCCACTCCATGGCTGTGGGTTTAGTTTGGGGTTTTGTTTTTTTAACATTGGACCTGGTCTCCTTACCCTTCTCAGTGGAAGTCCTAAAGCAGCGAGTGGATGGCAGGGGAACTTGTTTAAAGTTGAATGTTAATCAGCTTTTGTTTTAAATAAGCTTAAGCTTCCCCTGCAGTCTCTTCTCTCCCTGAGGCTCCATCCCCCTCCCCAGGCTCCACTAAATGAGGAGGCATCAGAAAGTTTGTGGGGAAATGCTGGTTTCTTTTAATTCCATTTTTTCCATGAACTTTTTGAAGCCTTTGTACACATCTAGTTAGCCACCAAGTTCAGGTGAGTCTACCCCAGAGTCTTTCCCTGGGCCTTCTCTGGGACTGCTGCTGCTGTTGCTGCTGGGCCTTTCGGAGGGATGCCTGCCCCACAGGGCACTTCTAACCTGACCCAGGCTTTCTCCTGCTGAAAGCCTTTCCAGGGCTCCCCTTGCTGCCCAGCTGAAATATAGCCAGATCCCGGTGTCTGCTGTGAGGCTGTCCTCAATACCCTCCCCCCCCACACACACACACCACACCCCCACACAGGGAGTTCCTCCCAGCCTTTCCTGGGCTCTTCCCTTTGGCTAGAGTGCTTCCTCTCACACCACTCCTGCCCTCCCCTTTCCCACCCCTCCTCCAGGTACATGCAGATACAGCCCACCCCTCCCCTCGGAGCCTGCTCAGCCCCCGCTGTGAGCTCCTCTCCAGCTGGACTGAGGGCTCCTGGAAGCAGGGCAGCGTCCCATTCACATGGGCCCAGTTTTCCTTCCAGGCTGGATGCAGAAGGCAGCCCTCAGTGACTGTCCAGAGAGCGTTGAGTGACAGGCATGGTCTCCCTCCCTCCCTAGGATAAAGTACACATTCCGGGGGCAATCTACCTCTCCATCAAATTCGACCCTCAGTGCAACACCGAGGAGGGCTGTGACGAACTGTCCATGTCCAGCAGCAGTGACTTCCAGCAGGATCGACACATCTTCAGTGGGTCCCAACAGAAGTGGAAGGACTTTGAGCTTCCAGGTAGTGACTGCTTGGTGATGTGGACTCTCCACCTTAAGTTAACATTAGTGTCGGGAAGGGAAATCGTCACAGGGTTTAACATCTCTCGTCAGAAACACTTAGATTGTCATGCCCCGTCCTTCCCATTTGTGATCTGTTTCTTCTTATGTGACCCAGGTGATACTCTGTATTACCGCTTTACCTCTGACATGAGCAACACCGAGTGGGGCTACAAATTCACTGTGACGGCCGGACACCTGGGGCGGTTCCAGACAGGTGAGTGCCCTACTCTGCTACTGGCACGAGCTGCGAGCCCGGGAGCCCACTGTAGTGTTTCTTGCAGTCCGAGCAGGGACTTTCCTCTGAGATTCCAGCACGTGCCTCTCGCAGACGCTGTCCCTGTCTTCCCCCAGCTCCCCAGCCCCGCCACTGTCACTGCCAAACCCGCCAAGCTGGCTAGTTGTCTGCTGCAATGACCACCTAGCAGAGTGGTTCTCGTAGAATCTGCCAGGGCTGTTTGTGAAGAGTCGGTTATTTGCTCAGACACCGGTTGGAGAAAGGTGATGCTGTCTGCTCCCTTATAGATTCGTAGCTTGGAAACCCTGTGTCAGATTAGTTTTGAGTTCTAATCCACTCAGTTGGGTTTGGGCTTTGTGAAGAGGCGGATCTGAACATGCTGTTCTTGTATTACTCTTCCAGAAAGTTTCATTTCTGGCAAAATCTAAATGATCGTAACGGTTTCACCCAGTGTATTAAAACCTGAGCCGCCTGTAGAGTATATAAACCACAGTGTACAAAGTTGTGAGACAGTTTCCCTAACCCTCTGTGTTTTGGGGGTGGGCTGGCTAGGATTTGAGATCCTGAAGCAGATGTTGTCGGAAGAAAGAGTAGTGCCGCACCTCCCGTTGGCCCAGATCTGGGAATGGCTGGTGGGTGTGGCCTGCCGCCAGACTGGTCATCAGCGGCTGAAAGCCGTCCACTTGCTTCTGAAGATTGTTCGCTGCTGTACCCTCAGGTAAGCTGGCAGTTGTTGGGCCGTCTGTTTATGTACTTACTGGACACACAGGAAGTGAGCGCTTCCCTGTCTGTGGGCCTGGTGCTCAGTGAGGAAGGTAGCCATGGAGAGAGTCACCGTGGTGTGGTGGGTGCCATGAACAAGGGAAGCACCCCAAGAGCCACACAGAGATGGTCAGGGTCCTGCTGGGTGTCGGAGGTCCAGAGCACAAGAGCAGTGTGGAGTAGAAGGTCGTGGGTTGTGAGGGGTGGGTGGTGGGACAGATTCTCATGGTTACGTAGGTTAAGCTTGCTGAGGGATCATAAAGCTAGCACACCCAGAGACGTACACTCAGACCAAGAAGGAGAATATTCAAAGCGATCCAGAAACGCCCCTGCCCACCCCGTCCCAGTCATCACCCACCCTCCTTCCCAAAGGTAACCGCTGTTCTGGCTCTTGCCTGGTTTCGTACTTAAACACCAGTTTATTTTTATGTTTAGCTTCTCATCGTTTCCTTGTGGTCTGTGAGAGTCACCCCTGTTGTTGTATGAAGCACTCATTCTTTCTCAGGGGTGTGTAAAACCTTACCCTGTCATTGTTTGTCCATTCTGCTGTTGATTCTGGTGTGTGTGGGCTGGGGCAGATAATGTGCTGTACCTGTGTGTGTACATGTCTTCTGAAGCACGCATGTGTGCATCTGTATTGGGTAGAACTGCTGGATCTTAAGGTCTGTACATGTTCAGCTCTAATAGATTCTGCTAACCCATTTTCTAAAGTAATTACACCAATTTCCTCTTACAACAGCAGTGTGGAGAGAGGCTCTTACTTTCTCCTCGCGCGTGTGAAGGCCTGGGATTGCCGAACTTTCTCATTTTAGCTGTCTTGGGCAGTGTGGAATGGTATATTATCGCTTAATTTGCATTTCCCTGATTACTAATGAGGATGAGTGTCTTTTCATATGATAATCTTCTATTTGGATCTTTTCTTCTGAAAAGTCTGTTTAAATCTGTTGCCCCTTGTCCTTTTCAGCCCTCTGCTTCCATTGGTGGGTTTAAAGGGTCTCTACTCCCTGCATGGGTGCTCTCTTGGTTTTTATAGTAGGGATCTCTTCTCCATTTGCTTTTTCAATCTCTGTGGGGTCTTTGCTGAACAGAAGCTTCTCGTTGTAATGTTTGCTGATTCGTGAGTCCCCCCTTTTATGGCAGAGCGTTTTGTGTCCTGAGGACGGCTCCCCTTACTCCAGGGTCGTGAGGACAGCTTTACGTTGTCCTCTAGGCGCGTGGTCTTTCCTGTCACGGGTAGACCTGCAGAGCCCGGACGTAGACGTGACAGACGCGCTTCTCCATAGACAGCTCCAGCTGGCTCCCAGCTGCCACCCTTCCCCCACGTCATAGTGTCCCCTGCCACATGACAGGTGTCCATAGAAGAGTGTCTCTCTCTCAGGTCTTTTCCGTCCCGCTGGTCTAGCATTCACCATTGTGCCGTTACCATCGGGTCTGCACTCTGTACACGGGTGCACGCTCCGCCCTCCGGCTCCGCCAGCGCAGTCCTTCCTCTTCAGCAGCTTGGCTGCTGTTGGCCCGGCCTCTCGTGCTCTACTCTGTGCATTGGCATACACGTTTCAGAACTAGCCTGTGGATACTTGTGCACATACACACGGGCATACACTCATACCCAAAGTGCACCGGACAGGATTCGGACAGGCTCCGTAGCTGAATGTGGGGAGAACCAGGAACCCTGGAGCACTGACCCTGTTGTAAAGTCATACATTACTTACATTTTCTTTCCGAGGGTTTGCCAAGCGTTTTGTTCGACTCCTTCTACCGTATTTAATGTGCTCTGTGCTGTGTATGTCGGAGAACTGTGTCTGCAGAAGTAGATACCCAGGCCTTTCTTTGACAGGAGCTCAAACCACTCACCTTCCCAGGTGCAGCACTCAGGACTCCGGTAGAAGCGTTGTTACCTTGCTGCGCAGTGACCTTGTGAAACAGTGTCCCTCTGAGAGTGGCAAGCTTTAATCCGTCCTCGTTCTTTGTTTTTATAGGCGGCTGAGAGACGCACTTGTCCTGTTTCTCATCTCAAGGTCATTGTCTTGGTTCTTAGCGCGCCTGTGTCACACGGGTCCTCCACACACTCAGCCCTGCTCCAATCCTTTCGTGCACACACTGGCAGAGGACGCTGGTTGAGCGGGCGGCGGGAACGCAGAGCTGTTACCAAGTCAGGGAGGAGATGGTGATGGCAGGCCAGGGCTGACCTGTGACCCATGGAACCATTGCTGCATGTGAAAACCAGGGGTCCCTAGCAGGACTTGGTTTAGCTTGGCTCATTTGAGTGGCTTCCAGTGAGAAACAAGCACCTCCACAGTGGTCAGGTGCTGGGCTCTCCCTGGCTCCCGGAGGACCCCTCAGCCGTCAACTGCAGTCAGCTCCCTGTGTGCGTGTGCCGAGGACCTGAGCCAGCAGGCCACCCACTGTGCCCTACTGCCCCTGGGAGTTTCACACCCCTGCACTCTGAAGGTTCTGGAGAGGTGCTCTTTGGCTGGGCGAGCGGGCTGTCCCTTGGCCTCAGTGCGACAGGGTGTGTCGAGTTGTCACACTGAAGAACCTCCTGTCCTCCCCTCCTTTGTGGAGGTTCCGGCCTCGAGGGGCAGGGATGGCCTCCAAGCTGACACCTCCCCTGGAAATTGAGCTGGAAGGAAGTGTGCCCACCCTCTGAGGACATTCCATCTGTCCATCCCTCACTCCTCTGGGTCAGCTAGGAGAGGGGCCCTGCTTCAGTAGGGACGCCTTTTGCCGTGAACCCCAGAGCATAGCCAGGTGCTGCTCTGGCCTTCTCCGATTACAGGGCAGGGTGGCTGGAGAGCGGGAAGGCTGGCCCAGGCAGCCTGGTGGTGGATGTGGTGTTTGCACGCTGTTGTTCCGAATGTGGTATGGCTCTACCTGCAGGGGGTGGGGAATCCAGAGCCCGCTTTTCTCCATGCAGCATTTACCTAAGACTTACGTTATTGTTGGATTTATCCCAGTAGCCATCTTTAATTCACAGCGAGGGTTTGCCTAGAGCAGGGCTTCGAACTGCTCATTCCGGTTAACCCCCTGCTGAGCTTCTCTCTCTCTCTCTCTCTCTCTCTCTCACACACACACACACACACACACACACACACACACACCAATTTTCTGATCGCAGGTATTTGAGGAGGAAGGTGGATGTTTCGCAGGGCTGTTAACGGGAATGAGCTAAGCCAGAGCCCTTGTTTTTAGAGCCAGGTCTTGAGCTGTCATTTCTGCCTTGCTTGCTGTTGGTCGTTTGGAAGAGAAGGGATCCTGTTCTATAGTCGCGGCAGGAGGTTCTGGGGGAAAGCCAGCCCAGCCTGACTCACTGTCCCAATGGCTCTCTGCAGTGACCTGTGTGACCTTGCGCTGCTGAAGCCCCTGTGGAAGCTCTTCACGCACATGGAGTACAGCCTAGCTGAGGATGTGACGCAACCTGGCATCCTCCTCCCCCTGCACCGGGCCCTCACTGAGCTCTTCTTCGTCACTGAGAACCGTGCCCAGGTGAGGACCCTGCCCAGTCTGGGGAGCCCTGAGGTCAAACAGCCCCTGGGCTCTTTATTTTGTCAGGCCTGAAGCCGAGCTGGGGTGGAGCAGCCCTTGACAACAGTGAGTTGGGAAAACATAAGCGGATGCGCTCTTGCTTCCTCCTCCCCCTTTTTCTCCCTGGACAATAGACTCCTTGATGGTGAGGATGAAAGGGCCTTTCAGAGTCCTGCACGATGCTTACCTATGCTCAGAGAGCGCAGAAGCCAGCTCCACGCGGGCAACTCTCTCTTTGTGGCGGGGGTCCCCTGGGTACTGACTGTCAGTTGTGCTGGGCTCGGCCTCATGCTCACAGAACCTGTGTTTTCTCCCCCAGGAGCTTGGCTTGCTGCAGGACTACCTGCTGGCCTTAACCACCGACGACCACCTTCTCCGCTGTGCGGCACAGGTTCGCCCCCCCCCTCCCCCGCAGAACTGGGCCTCTGTGCATTGTGTCATGAGGACACAGCACTTCGAGTTTACACGGCCCTTGGTTCCAGCTCAGTCACTTCCTCCTGGCCCCAGAGCAAGGACTTAGGCCCCATTGATCAGTGTCACTCATGTTGAACTGTGGGCCCAGGAGACACAAACAACCAAGGCCCTCAATTTACAGTCTGGCTGTGGCCCAAAGTTTCCATAGAGAGGCTGTAGGGGTTTCTGTATCTGACTTGCCTCCCAGCAGCTGAAAGCCTCTGCTGACAGCTGTCGGGTGTACCCTGTGAGATGACGGCACCCCCAAAGTTCTTGGCTGTGTACGTTATATCTAGCAACATAAATCTTTATTAGAAGCTAAAATGGAGGAGAATGGTTAACATTTATTTACGTATCTAAAAATAATTAGAGACCCATTTCATGTTAACACAAATAGGATGTGTGGTGGGAAAAAAGTATGTTTTTCAAAACACAAGCACACAGGACGGAGAATGGTGGCGCTAAGCCAGGCTTGTGCGGGTCTCCGTGGGGCCTGACTCAGCACACGGCGCTGGGCTCTCAGGCTCCTGTGGCCATTGGTCTGTGTTATAGCAGCAGACAGTAGCCTCTGGGCATCACCCCTGCTCGCATGTGCGAAAATGAAAGTAGAAAAGGCCAAGTACCATCGTTGTATTTTTGTGAAGAACGTTTTTACTCCTGGACTCCTCAAGAGGGTCTTAGCAATTCCC